CCCCCCAAGCTCGTATCATGTCTTTCCAGTTCCTTTATTCTATCTACCTAGTCCACTTCGATCCACCGCCTATCCCAGGTACCCTTCTATCGGAAAGAGATGTAGACCCGTTCCCTTCACTGCCTTGAGCAACGCTTGCATCTTCCGTAGTACAATTTCTTGAACCAATGGTACAGAGCTACCATTAAATGTCCGCCTAAATCCTAGTCAGCTGTTTGTACATTGGATGAAGCTATACACGAAGATGAACATAAATGTGTAATGCGCACTTCACTGTGGTCTTAAAGGTCTCCGAGTTCCAAATTTGAGCCAAAATAACTTTTGATTTTCGTCCTCCTCCCTTTTCCTCTTCAGCCTTTCTTCGCGTCGCCTGTCGTCTAACTCGTCCTTGAGCTCCTGCAGCACCTCGGAGCTGGGTATTGAATTTTCCATGTCTGCACCTCGACCTGAAAGAGTAGCATGTGGTTTGCATAACCCTTCCTGTATCAAGATTTTCAAGACATTCTTGCGAAACTCGCGAGGATCGCCTTGGATTTCGTTCTCTTCGAAGAAAAAATCCATCAGAATATCGAAAAGCCAACTGTGAAAATCATGGGTCGCCGGATCCACGAGGAGGGACACTAATTTTTCCTCGCTTACAGGAGACAGGTCCTTCTGCGAGACATCCTGGCCGTCAATCGGGTTCTCCATGGTTACTAGCGGGCTGTGCGGTTGTGTACGGCGTGGTATGCCGAGTGAGAAGCGTTGTATGGCGAGTGAGAAGCGTTGTCTTTTGCTGTGCGAAGGCATACTAAACACCTCTGGGCGCAATAAATCTCCACTGAGAGGCTCTGAGGGTTTAGCTGGCTATGATGAGTTCCCGCGTGATGAAATCCCGAACGTGTATCGATCTTCTCGGGAAGATGAGTCGAGGGATCCGAGACAAATATAAGATTTCACGAGCCAGTGCCGACTGCTTCTGCACATTCAACCCACAATGAGCCATTCGAGCGCTTTTACCGCCATCCGTTAAAGGCCATTGTACCACCAGCGTCGTCCAATCTCCGTGCCGCTGAACAGGGCTCGTAGAGGGTCTTTGTCAAGCCAACAAAGGACTGGCCGTTGGGTCTTGGATAGGGAACCTTCCTCTCCCGTTTGTCAGCGGCGGAACCGAAGACCTGGTATGCACAACTCGAAAATTCGTAGGTTCAGCGTTCATAGGTACAACCAAGTCTAGTGGCAGCAGGTTCAGATCAAAAACTACTTAGCAAACCATCAGTGACAGATTGAACAACACCGAAGCGGATAATCGTTCACCAGGACCATGGTGTCAAATCATCTCACCCTTCATCATCTTCCTATACTCCATTCCTGTGAACGTTGGACAACCGTACCTGAGCAACAGCGCCAACGCTCGTGACGCCGTCCGCCATCTGTGTGTGAGTCCATCACCGCCCTCAACACCCCTTTATTCCCAATACACCCGTAAACGCGCTGCCGAGGTACGATGCAAGCCAAACACCGTTTACCTACACATCCAAGCCACACTCACCCAGTCCTACCTAATCATGCTCGACATCCATTCCAACCCAATCAACGCACCAGAGAGGTAGTATAATCTCAAGCCTACCATTCTCCTGCAAGTTCAAACAAGTCAAAAAGAGACCCCAACGCAACCAACAACAGCCTAAGTAGTATCTCACCTTGCCTATCTACACCACGCTCACTACATACCTGTACCTTGACCAAATCATAAAAAAAGGGCATCCAACCAAAAACCACGACCTTTCCATTGAAGGAAAAAAAAAAAAAAAAAAAAAAAAAAAAAAAAAAAAATTCTAGGAAAAACAAACAAACCAAGCAAAACATGGAAGAAGATCTCCCCAAAAGCCCCGCCCAGCTCGACGCCCTCTCGTGCCTGGTGGTAATCAAGGACTCGGCTTTGAAGAACAACCCCGAGGTCGCAGGGAACCCCACAGCCACTTGAAGGTGACAATTAAAAGACTGAAGGGTTCCAAAGATCAGGCCCCCGAGGAGTCCAGGTAGTGGGTACTATAGCAGCTACTATGTTCGTGACACATCCGGGCAGAGGATTCGAGTCTGCGTTTGGGTTTGGGCCTAGTTCGCACTGCTCGCGTAGTTTGTTGTGCCGTTCGTATGGTCCGTCTAGGTAAGGCAAGAGAGAGAAAAGATGGTTGAGCAAGAGATGGTAGACGAGCGATGAGCAGCCTGAATTGGTGTCAGCTACATAATGGGATCATCAAGGGAGAGGTTGATGGTGAGAGACAGACATACGTACTTTGGTTGAGCCAGCAATTTTGCTATACAGGAACGAGTGAACAAGTTTATTATCAAGATAGGTAAAGTCGTGCGAAGAAAAGGAAGTATATCACAAAGTCAGAATTCCAAATTGGACAACGCTTTTCCTCTCTCTCCCATTCCGCTATGTATATAAGGACTTCTTTTGACACGCCTTGCAATTATCCCAGCAGCGAATCCTGCTTGAACAGGTTACGCTACTCCGTATCATACTTATCTTCGCTTTTTGCCATTATGTATAGCCCGTCATTTTTTTTTTTTTTTTTTTTCCTATTTCCACACTACCACACCCCACCATCGCGAAGTCGACAGAGAAAGGTCAGGCAAATCCGAAACCCTGGGCATTCTCCAACGCCATAGCCAGCCTTTCCCTCAACATCTCCTTATCTTTGTACTCCGGTAGCAGAAGGATGCCGTAACACGTATAAGCAGTAGGTAGTCTCGGAGCCTTTTTCTTCTTCTCTTTTGGTGCTGCTTCCTCATGCTGCTCCCCACTGCCGCTGCGGGTACTGGGACGTCTTGCCCGATGACTAAGAGAGCTTCTTTCGCTCCTCCGTCTTCTGTGTCCATTAGCTGAGGAAGTAGAGGGTCTTTGCGCCGGCGTCGCCGGCTGCGGCGGCGGCGTGTTTTCCTGCTGTTGCTGCCTTGCATCATCCTCGGCGGCGTTGTTATTGTTGGTGGCAGAACCTTCAGGAGCCTCCTGGGCCTGAGCTTGGGCCCGAGCATGGTTCTCGCCACTATCTTCAATAACGACCTCGCCACGACGAACCCCGTCGTCCTCCTCTTCCTCTTGCTCATGCTGCCCCCAGAAATCCTCCTCTTCGGAAGTATACTCATCAGAGCTGTATTCACCTTGCACCTCCCACCCCTCGTCGGTAGTATATGGCTCTTCATCTTCTTCATCTTCTTCATCCACATCAGTATAATCCTCCTTACCGTTCCTCTGAAGCGTGAAAACCAGGTTCTTGACGCCTCCGACCGGCAATCTGTCGCTGGCCGTGACGAACTCCAGCAGCCGCCTCTTCATCTTATCGTCGTACTTCTTCACAATGCTCCAGAAATCGCGGACCGTTCGGTGGGATGCGTCCCAGTCTACGTAGCGCGTGTACCGCTGGAGTTCGGCGATGTCGATCTCCTGTACGCCTTCGACTAGGGATTGCAGGAGGGAAGGGGTCAGCAGTGACAGGGACTTGGGGTGGAGACAAGTGCGGAAGCCGCGCGCAAAGGCCTCGAATTGCGGGCGGACGGATACATCGGTCAGGTAACGGATGTAATCAGACACGAACTGCTCGCGGTTGGCAGCTGTGACGAGTGGCGCTTCTTCTTCAAGTGGGAGGGCAGAGGCGGAAGACGAGGCGTCACTGAGTCTTCGAAAGGCAGGGGAGAATTGAGGCCAGGGTTCTTCCCGAGAGAAGGCATCCGTTTCGGCGGCCGACTTGCCGCTGCGAGAGGAAATGGGCGGAGGTGGAGGCGTCATGAGCTTCGTCACTTGTTCGCCGAAGCTCTCAACCGAGAACTCGTAAGTGCGAGCAAACACATCTTCGACCGAACCACCCATCTCCTTTTCATCCCAGTCGAGGAGCATGGTTAGCCCGCTGACGAGATCTGGCCAGCCATCTGCGATATGGTCGAGATCGGTAACGGGTTCGCCGAGGAGTTTGGCGTAAAGCGCCTTGGGGAAGGTGACTGGAAGGGTGAGGCCATTGTAGACGGCTAAAGACATGAGCAGTCCTATAAGCTCAAACTTCCATTCCTCCACCACGGACCCAGGCTGGAACCATGTCATCTTGGTTCTCTCATCTACCGTGAACGCGCCATAGTCAGGGTTCAAGGCCTCTGCCATCGCCAGGCGGAAGAACTCCTGCTGGACACCACCAGAGTCGAAACCTTCTTCGCCAGCACGCTCACCGAGATGGATCTTGAGCGGCCGCATGATTTCCCGCTCCTCGCGCCGCCACAGCTGGTCGAAAGCATCCCTAATAACCCTATTGCGTCTGATTTCTAGGACAAGGTACTTGGAACTGGCAACCTTGAGCTTGTCCATGATAACCCGTTTATGGTGCTCATTCATCGGGCTAGATCTACCCATATAGACCTCGAACCTCTCCTGGATCGAGGCCGACTGCTCGTAATAGCGGTTCATGCGTGAAAGGTTGATGGCTCGGAAGAAGCCCACTAGCGTATTGCTGTCGAACAGGTAAGGGAAATCTAGCAAGTGCAGCTTCTTGCGGGTAGAAGCGTGCGCGAGCCAGCCCACTGGCGCTTCCACTACGTCTAATCGATCGGCAAAGTACTTGGAGTGAAACTGGACGTCGCCGAGTAGGAGGTCCTCCCGTTTCTTGTCTATCGTTAAAGGGAAACGTCAGTATTGTGGACAAGCTATCAAGAATGGGTTAAGAAATAACATACGCATAGTATCGATGAGGGCCAGGGCACCACCAAAGGGCCCATCTCCAGGCACCTCGGGGTTACCATCCCACTCTTTGATCATCACAGCTCTTGCCCAGTCAAGCAAAAGAATAGGAACGCGCGTTTCATGAACGGTGCGGTCCAAGAAGGGAAAGTTGAGGATGTACAAGGCATCCTCGTTCAAATAATCCAGTTGCGAGAATAGGGGTGTAAGCACGTCATGTTCTTTGGTATCATCGTCTGCAGAGTTGGACCTCTTCAGCTCATCAAAATAACGACGTGTGGGGATGGCTGCAAGAACCCGTTTAGCAAGACGAAGGGCCAGTTCGTCAGAGAAAGCATCCTCGTACTGGAGACACAGATCAGTGGGTTGAGAAGCTGGCGAGCCACTGCCAGCAAATATCAGACCGTGAGCCCTTATTCTCGACATGTCATATAGCTGTCTATCGTCATTTACCAAAGGGGCCGCAGCGACCAGGGCATGTAGACAAATGGACAAAAGCCGACCAGCCTCCTCGTTTGATAGTGCCTTCTCGGACTTGGGAAAAAGCTTTGTGGTTCGTGAACGAAGAGACTGGAGCGTCTTTGGCGGAGCGAACAGACTGGCAGCAGCCATCCACAGACTATGGAAGACTAGGGTGGGGCAAATTCGTGTCATGCGTAGCATGCAATACCACAGCGTTTCCGAATCGTAGAGTTGCCCGTTTGTGGTGAAAGATCGGATAGCTTGATGCGGATCACTCAACACATGGAAGAGAGATTGCTCCACAAACAGCTTCCATTCCAGTTTCATGTTGGGTGAACGAGCGCGTTTGGGGTCAAGCTTCCTCTCTAGCTCCTTACGTTGATCCGCGTATCCCTTGTGGAACTTGGTTACTGCTCGTGGTTCCAGGATGTGGCTTTCGGCGGTGCCATCCTCCTGTATGACATCGCACACAAAGTCGACGACCCGGGGGTCGAGCCTTGACAAAGTCTGAGGCAGTATGTGATCATCCTCGGAATCGGATTCGATCTCAACTGCTCGTTTTCCCCCTTGAACGCCAGCAGCCCCGGACTCGGAGGTCACTTTTGACGAATGACTCGCTTCATTGCTTTTGGAACCATCTAATTGCCCGCGAATGCCAGCCTTGGGTCTCAGATCGGCAGACTTGGGAGGCATCTTCTCTAAACTGACATGGTCAAAGTAGCCGGCCGACGAAAGCTGGGAGATGGGACGTGTAAGTGTCGAGCCAGCTGCCTTGAGACCTCGCAATCCTTTGTCTGCGGTACCGTTGGGGCGAGTATCCGTGGTGAAATGGTCAATCGATAGTTTGCGCTTAGGCTTTGGGCCGGATGATGCCCGAACTCTTGCACTCGAGTTCCGGCGGTGGCCATTAGGGCGATGTGGCTGTTGGCTTGGCTGTTCGCTTGCTGGTCTGACCTCCTTCACTGCCGTTTTCTCATTGTCCTCGTTTTGCTTCCATTCGCCATTCGTTTCTATATCCTTGGGCCTATCCTCCTTAAGAGGAGCGGGCGGTACGACTTGTCCAGCGCCCGATTGTTGACTCGACAATCCGCTCTTTGAGGCTTTTGGCGCTCCAGCCTGGCCATTTACTGGAATTGCCGGCTCGCTTGCTTCGTAAGCTTTTGCAAGTCGCGACATCTCTTCCATGGCAGCTGGGGTGAGCCACTCCATCATCTTGAAAGCAACGGTTCCAAACACATTTGCGGCGAAGGATCGGTAGTCTTTGCTTGTCGGCCTCTCTATCACCCTGAAACCTGGCTCATCCTTCTTTGCATGTTGGCTTGGGCTTTTCGGTCGTTCCTTGTCCTTCCCACTGTCATTATTTGGTGTCTTGTTTCCTTTTCCGCCTCCTGTATTCTTGGGTGAACTTGCGTCGCCAGCACCATTGGGCCCCTTGGTGGAAAATGTTTTCGGAGCTGGCGAGAAACGAAGTGAGTTGAGAGCGGCCGGTGGTGCCTTGGGTAACCGCAAACCAGGACACAGTCCATTCTCAGGATTGTCCTGGCTCGCCAGGTAAATGGCCAAGGTCCTCGCGCTCGTGGTATTGTATCGTCGGATGGGTGCTCGGCCAGCAAGCCTCCTACGGCAAGTGAAGCATGTTGAAGTTGTACAGTTTTCGTTGCCGCAGCCCTCGCGGAGTTGGAAGATGAACTTTTGGACTAGAAGCTGGAAGTTGTGTCTTCGACTAGCCTTGTGAACAGCGTAGACTTTCCTGGGATTGTCAATCTCCTCCACCAACTCCCTCAACTCCTCCGGGGCATCCCATGGTAGTCTGGCAAAGCGCGCTTCCTCCCACAGGCCGGCCAGAACGTCTAACTCGGGGCTGTTGTTATGGGTAGCATCGGCTGGGCGGAGAGTATCTCGAGTCATGACATCAACTTGCTGCGTGATTTGGCGTCGGGCAGATAGCTAGGGAAAGCGAAGTGTCGCGATAGCAATGTATAAAGTGCGACGGGATGCGAGATGATATGATGCAATCGTTTGCGATGCGAACGAGTACGTCGGCGCAAAGAAAGCAGCAGCTCAAGGGTCGGATGGAAGCATGGGGAGGTCCAGTCGAGATTGGTGTCGGGATAATCGGCGTTTATTCCGTCGCAAGTCGCCGCGCTTTCGGTGCCGTAGGTTCGTAGGAGGCGATGGAGGAAATAAGTATTGTATAGCAATATCGTGGGAGTTGAAAGCAGCCGCCAAAGTGGAAGTTGGAGCAAGTCCGAGACCAGGAAAGCCCCGGAGAATGGATGTCGATTGAATCCGGGCAAGGCTGAAGATCGATGCTGGATATTAGATGCGCCGCCAGTGCTGGGGGGGGGGTGGGGGGTTCTTCGTTCTGGTCATCAAGTGCACAATGCCCCTGTTCCCTTGGTGGTATCGCCTGGGGTCGCTGCTGCTGGCTGCTGCTGCTACCGTTGAACGGAGCCAAGGGGATTGGAAAGCTCACCGTCACGGCCCGGCGTCAAATCCTGGGCTCATCGATGCGTGAAGCGCACGGGCCTCCCCCAGAAATGCCCACTGTTGAAGATAGTGAAGTTGTTGCCGGCACCATCGGATTTCCGTTCTCCGTCGTCTGACTCAGCAGGGAAACTCCCACTGTGTGTGACCGGGACTTGCGTCAGAATGGCTCACAATGGGGCTTCCCCTGCGGGTCCAGCCCGAGTTTCCAGGGACTTTGTTTGCCCCACTAAAAGATTTGCGGTTTATAGCGGGCTTTTGGAGGGGCAGTGTCAGCGAGCCGCGGGCAGGCAAGGCAAAACCGCCACCAAGATTGGACATTTGCGTCGCTTTGTTTTTCTCCAGCGGATGTCTGTTAGTCCTCCACCCACTGACGCACCTTACCCATTGCGCTGGATTATCAGTGCAGTAACAGCGACCCAAGTGTCCACCCGCCATTGGAAAATTTAGATAAACCACCACCGATTCTTGCCCGTCTCTTGTCAACATCATCACCAGACACCAGTCACCATCTCACTCGCCAGCAGACGAGTGATCCAGTGGCAAAAAGAGAAGCAGCAGGAACTCCCCCCGGCTTTTTCATCCTTCAGGCCATCCCATCACGGCCCCGGCTTTACACTACGAACCAGGCGCATATTGCCTGATTATTAATAAAGAGCAGCTTCTACAAAACCGACTTTCTTTTTTTTTTGATCCTCTCGAGATCTTTCTTTGTCGCAAACACCATCATCTCCAAGCAACACCACCAAAATGGCTACTATTTCCGCCAGCAGGACGGTCCCCATGGCCGCCGATGTCTCGAGGATGGACCAGGGAACCACTCATCCTTTTACGTGCAACACTTGTCAAGTCGCATTCCGCAACATCGACTTGCAAAAGGGTCACATGCGCAGTGACTGGCAGTATGTTGTTTCTAAGAACCCTCATGATTTTGATTTTTAACAGATGACTGATCTCGTTTACTAGTCGTTATAACCTCAAGCGCCGCGTCGCATCCCTCCCGCCTATTTCCTCCGAGGTCTTCACCGAAAAGGTTCTCCAGTCCCGCGCCGAGGTTACCGCGCAAACAGACAAGGCCAGCTTTGAGATGACCTGCGAAGCTTGCTCCAAGACCTACTACAGCGAGAACTCGTACAAGAACCACATCAGCAGCAAGAACCACAAGATGAGGGCCGCTGCTTTGGCCTCGAGGGGCCCTGCCGCCATTGGGCGCACAAAGGCCGACGACGAGGTTAGCTCGGTTATGAGCTCGACTTTCTCTCTGGGCGAGCCCGCTTCGGAGGCCAAGTCCGAAGTCGATTCTGATGCTGAGGAGGAGTTTAACGAGGTTGTTGAGGGTATCAAGCAGGCCAAGATCGAGGACACTGCCTCGCCCGTTGACCGTCCCGCCAACCCCCATCTCTCTGCCGCCGACCAGCACAAGGAGGACCACCCCGTGGAAGACGCTGCTGCTAGCGAACAGCCCGAGTCCTCCGGAACCGCCACCCCTACCCAGCCCGAAGCCGATGCCACCGTCCTCAAGCAGTGCTTGTTCTGCAACTACGAGTCCCCCACTCCCGCTCTCAACGCTACCCACATGGAGAGGATACACGGCATGTTCATCCCCGAGAAGCAGTACCTCGTTGATTTGGAGGGTCTTCTCGGTTCGCTCAGGAGACGTGTGTTTGAGCTGAACGAGTGTCTGATGTGCGGCAAGATGCGTTCCAACACTTTTGCCGTGCAAACGCACATGCGTGACAAGGGCCATTGCCAGATTCCTTACACCACCGAGGAGGAGCAGCTCGAGATCGGTGAATTCTACGACTTCCGCAGCACCTACTCCGACGGCGACGATTGGGATACCGAGGATGAGGAGGAGGAGGAGGAAGGAGCCGGCGGCGCCAAGCTGGGCGGCAAGCGCGAAGCCAAGGTCGAGGTTGTCGAAGGCGAAGAAGGCGAAGGTGAAGGCGGCGACGAAGAGGGCTGGGAGACCGACAGCTCGGCCTCGTCTCTCGACTCGGACGACCTCCATGCCGTCCCCGGCGAGGGCCATTACCATCAGTACGAGCGTCTGGCCAGCCACCGCCACCACTCGCGCGACGACCCTCGTCCCCACCGCCAGGCGGACGGCTTCCATGCCCACAGCAGGAAGGGCGTCAACGCCGTCTACTACGACGAGTACGAGCTTCACCTGCCATCTGGCCGCTCCGTCGGCCACCGCTCGCTCAACCGCTACTTCCGCCAGAACCTGCACAATTACCCCACGCCCGAGGAGCGCCAGCAGCAGCTCCTTCTCGAAGCTGCCGGTGGTGAAGAAGGCGAAGATGCGGAGATGCAGTACGACAGCGACGGCGAGCCGAGATTCAGGAGAAACATGGAGGTTCAGCTCAGAGACCGCAAGGCGCACGGCAGGCACGTCATCACGCGTGAGACAAGAGGTCTTATCGGCGCCAACGGTATCAGAGATGTGGAGAGCAAGGAGGTGCGGAAGGTGGTGGAGAAGGGTCGCCAGAGGGAGGTGGACTCGTATAAGCGCGCTGAGGTGGTGGGCATGAAGAAGCACTTCAAGGAGGTACACAGGAATCCTGTTTCTTACCTCAGGTGAGCGGTCGTTGCTTGTTGCAACCCGTTTGTGTCCTGGGGTCTGGTTTGGGTTTCTTTCCTTCCTGTATGTTTCTGTTAGAATTTTTGCATGAGTTCTTTTTATATTGCCGATACCATTTTATGCATCGTCGTCGTCGTCGCTTCTACTACTTCGCAACGGGTCAGGATGGTGACACATATGGACATGGTCTCGTGATGCATGATAGATGTGTAGACGCAAGAGCGCAAGATATGGTTTATGGGTTTTTGTTTTTAATGAATCACGCAATAGACTTCTGGCATACCCTGACGAAGTGGTTGTAAAAATCAATCTAATATGGACTGTCCAATACGGCTCGATTTGGCTCGGAAAGGCCGTTACAAAGATGTGATAGAAACTTATCCACTTGAAAGTACATTGACCCGAGTCCCCTAGGGGTTGTTCCATACAGGAACTGTCTAGAATTAATATCAAGGGCATCATAAAGACGCTTCGATGTCTGGTGCCTTCACAATATGGTATGATAATATATTGACCGTAACGTATGCAGTCTATTTTCATGATAATAATGCTGGGTATAGCGAAATGTAATACGGTTGAGTGTAAGAATGTCTATTATATGATCCTTTTGTGCAATACCTGCCAAAACCTGAGATTGAAAGATTGTATATACCTACATAACAGAACTGAACCCTTACATAAAAAGAAAAAAGAAAATTAAAAAAAAAAAAAAAAAAGTATAAAAAGAGCTTCCGAGCTATCCAAGGATAAACTGAAAACTATGCCGTCACTCGTAAACCTGAAGGTCACTTGTGTTCATCCCGCAACCATTTCTTTATACACTATCTCTTTTATGGTTCAACTCCAAAACGCTCTCGCTCACTTACAGTAGAGTGCCCTGTAACTGCAAGTCCCTATAATTGCAAAGACCTAGTAAATGCTAGAGATTCTCATGCCCGATTTATTTTAGTATGGTAAAGCCTGCTAACTGCTAAATGCAAGCCGCCCAGCTGGCCGGCCATATAAATTTGCACCTAACAGGGCAACTAACAGGGGGTTTAGGCGCCCCTATCACCCCAATTGGGGCTGTCACCAGCTATCAGAACCCTTTATCAGGGCTGTCACTGGCTGTTACAAGCCCCTGTGCAGGTGCCAGTAAGTGCAAGGACCCAGTAATTGCAAGGAAAATGCCTTGCCCCAATTCCTTGCATTTACTGGGTTGCCTACTGTACTCATATTCTAGAACAACGCTTGCAGCAGCAGCAGCATGGAAGAAATACAACCAAACATTACCATCAAATATCGAAAACCCATTTAAAGCCTAAACATTACTCTTCACAAATCTCTCTCCCCCCCTTTTCCACATCGCAACTTTTCTCCTAACTCCTCTTGAACCACCTCTTCAACCCCCTTTTCTTCCCCTCATCCGGAGCCGCATACCCCTCCTCCCTAACATTATGCCTCCCCACGACCTCCAAGAAGACCTGATCCAACGTCGTCGGACTAACACTGAAATGCTCCACGCCCAACTCCTCCCTCTGTTCCTCAAGTAACACTACCAACTTCCCAATCGCGCTCGTCGTGCTTTGCTGGGTTTCCGTCTCCCTGATTTCTTCCGTTGTCATTCCCTTATCTGCCCGCTGGTTAGTAATACCAGTGGTGAGGGAAAGGACAACAGCGGCGGGTACGGAAAAGCGCATCTGCCCGTGATATGTCTTCCCCTCCATCGCGGCGGCAGAGCCAAAGGTAGATTCAACCCAGGCGTGGATTTGCGCAATCTGGGCGTCCGACGTGCGCGGCGCGCCACGGCAGACGAGGTGGACGTGCAATGTATCGCCGAAGCGTTTGCGCAACGAGT